CCTGCAACAGAGTACCGACGTTCCCGTCTTCGTAGAAGCTCGTAACGTGACCTTACGGACTAGATGCAAATCAGCGATTCGGGACGTTTAAGAAGATTCGTGGTTAACCGAATGCGTTCAGAAATCTGAAATTCAGATCTCAGTTCAGAAACCATGTCTCTTTAGTCTAGATAGTGTGAACGAGGACAGCTAGATGAAAAACGGGCTCTTGTTTGGTGCCTGAGATGTTTTGGGAGAAATCTGGTGTTGGAAATGCATTTAGTTACGAACTAATGTCTGAGTTCGTTTTTTTCTAGTTGTGTAGTTAAACCTGGTGATGTGGATCTAATCCAAGTACTAATATTAAGAGAGATGTAGCCTTCACATGAAGCATCTGCAGCAGCAACAAACGACGATGCTTCAGTTTAGTGAGCTAGATGAGGAAAATAATAACGGCTTGTAGTGGAAAACCAACGCAAGAGATCTGGACCTGTTTGCAAGCTGAGATAACCCTTAATTATAATTCATGAAAGAAAAGAATGAAGTGAAGAATTATCATGTTTAACTTGAAGGTTTATTGCATTAGATCCATCTTAAAGGAATAGTTCACTCAAAAAGGAAAATTTGCTGTATATATCCTCACCCTCAGGCCATCCGAGATGCAGATGAGTTTGTTTCTTCTTCAGATTTGGAGAAATGTAGCACTGCATCAGTGTCTCAGCAATGGATGCTCTGCAGTGAATGGGTGCCGTCAGAATGAGAGTCCAAACAGCTGATAAAAACATCACAATAATCCACAGCACTCCAGTCCATCAGTTAACATCTGGAGCAGAAAAAAGCTGAAACAAATCCAGCATTAAGACATATTTTTAACTTCAAACCGTTTCTTCCAGCTAAAATATGAGTCCATAATCCATAATAACGCTTCCTCCATTCTGACGGCACCCATTCACTGCAGAGGATTCATTGGTGAGCAAGTAATGCAATGCTACATTTCTCCAAATCTGATGCAGAAACAAACTCACCTCGGATGGCCTGATTACATTTTCAGCAAAATAGGTGAACTATTCCTTTAATCCATCAAAAACTGATGGAAATCCCAGTCTGAGAGGTTTCTACTGGAGCCAGTCATGTTTTAGAGTGGCATATTGTCAATATAAAACAGGAACCAGTTTGTTTTCTTGCAGAAAACGGACCTTTAAGGGATTAAACATGCGTGTCAACAACATGTAAAGATCTGGTGTACAAACGTGTTTCATTTTGCAGTACATTACAGACCTTAGTTGGATGAAGGTACATGAATTTTCCTCATTCTTGAGACACAAGCAGAACAAAATGAGTGTAAATCATTTCAATCTAATAGCAAAGAGTTTAGAGATTCACTGCTGGTGTTTCATGAAATAATTTGTTCTTGAGTGAAATTAAACACGACGTCTACCCTGACTAAGGTCTGTAATTATTATTATTATTATTATTATTACAGTATTTCATGTTTTCATACCTGCTGCTGCACATGATTCCTCAGCCTAAAATCACATTTTGCAGTAGTTTTTGTGACCCAAAAGGTCCGACCGACACTCCTGAAAGTGTTTCATCATGTCTGAAAATGAGCTGAAGGCAGATCTATAGTCTGATGTGTTTACTGGGAGTTTTGCACTGACGGTTTTAATTTTTGTTTAGTTTCTGAATCCTCAAAGTTATAAACTGGAGACTTTGTGCAAAAAAAAAAAAAAAAGCTGGTGATGAAGATGAATCTTAAGGAGGATCTGTTACCGGTTTGCATCATGAATGCGCAATATACTGGATTCAGCAAATAACTGGTACTAAAATGGCACAAAGTGACTTGAGAAATGAAATCGAACCGCCTCGGGTGTTCTTTTATTTTCCAAACGATAAAAATGTTTACATCTGTGTGTTTCCTTGTTCGTCATCGGTCATTTTTACTTGTTTTCCTCTTCGATGAAGACACAAATGGTAACCTATGAAAGCTGTAGCTGTGTGCGTGGTTTGGTTTGAAGGAAATAGCTACACGCTGGAGATACTGACGTCAATTTGTGTCTTGGAGATTGTCGATGATGAGCGGTGTGTGTGTGAATCTTCTGTGATGATATTGAAAAGCACGCTTTGTATATCCAAAGGAAGGTCATTTCTTCGTTTCTGGTTCTGTCCGTTTTTAGGGCTCCCTCGCCGGATTCTTATTGAGTTAATGAAGTGACGTCTCTTCAGTATTTGGCAGTGAAGTAAAGAGCGGTGCGGGTATTTTTGTTAAATTGTACAAGAAACTGTGGAGATGCAAATGTTCAGCCTGTTGAAGTATTTGATACCAGTCATGTATTAAAGACGTGTCAAAGCTAGCTGTCGCCCACTGGATTTTGAATATATCATGACTTTTTGTTTTGTTTTATACGCTAACCGTTTAAGTTATGAAGTGCACAATGTCTTTTAGAACGGAAACACTGGAGATGCAATTTTGCGCATTAGAATGCGAGCTGTGCGTTATGCAAGAATGAGTCACAGTATGTTTGTACAAAAGTTCTGATGCCGATGTACAGTATGTCTGAAAGGGGCCGAAATGTAACCAAATGTCAGCTTAACTTGTTTCTGTTCCCTGTAGGAGACGTAGACGGACTGCTCTAGAACCTGTGTGAGATTGGTTTTGACACTTTTTCTGTCCGAAGGTCGTCCTTATGGTGAAGCATTTGTCAGCTTCAGTTTCTTGATCAATAAAAGTTGGTATTCATTCTGTGCATTTGATCTGTTGTTATTTTCGGTCCCAAGAGGACACTGCAGCCTCACAAAAAAACACTTGAGCAACTTAGACATGACAGTTTATATATCTATCTATCTATCTAT